AACGTTCAAAAAAAGCAACATGTGATATTTGCGATATTACTTGTGCATGATATGCAAAAAATTTCTTTGCATATCGCATTTTTTGTCACAATCATCATCTTTGTTATCAGTTTAAATCATAAAATTTACATTAATCTAATTTACTTTATTTATTTATGTTATCTTATATGATTACGAGGGTCGTTTGAAAAGTTTTGAGCCTCAACATGGCGCTAAAACCATTCTGGTACTACAATTATACATGTTTTGCAAGATATCTGTGAAAATTATAGCCATTTTGGTCACTCAATTGTTGTTTAACAGTCACTTGTGCTAGTCGATATAGTGTTTTTGTAAAAAATCAAATATTGACGATCGTCATAACAAAAATTTACGAATTAATTAACTACCCACCGTAGTAGATGATCTATATATATATGAAGCCATGGGGGAACCGCGGAGTGAGGGGCCCGGGGGAAAACTGGGCGAGAGGGATATTGTGGTGCGGGGGGGCAGCCAATGAGCGAGCTGCTTTGTCCTCCCACCACCTCTCGTAGTTTTCCTCCCTGGCCCCCGTCCCCACGGGCGCATGTGTGTGTGACCTCGTGATGTCACGACGTGACGCAACGCGACGACGATCCCGCGAGCTCGAGAGCAGACGAGCGACTGAGGGAGTTCGCGCATTTTTCTTCCCGCGTGCGCTGTCGCTCTCGCTCGCACCAACGCCCATGTTCGCTCGCTCTCGCTCGCAGAAGATTTGATCTCTCACGATGGATGCGTAGAAAATTTTGTTTCTCACTCGCATCGACGGATGCGTATTAGAAAATTTGATCTCTCACGACGGATCCGCTTTCACTCACACTTATGTCATGTATTTTTTTCGCGATGACACCTTATTACGTTCGATTGTACCACCGTTCCTCATACACACTTTTACTGTCGTGTTTTTTTAATTGTTAGTTTAATAAAAAAAAATAGCAAAATAAGAATCTAACGTTTTATCTCAATTTTCTTTTATGCAGTTATTTGCGTATTTATGGATTCCTGTTAGATACCACATCCTTAAAGATACGATAAGAATCCATTGTCCCTTTTTCCGTTATGCAGTTTTGTCTCCTTGATAGATACCACAAAGATGTGATAAGACATTATTGCATCCTCTTTCGGATGCGTTCTCTCTCGCATGACGTTGTTTCAATTTTCATAAGGGTGCCTATTTATTGCAGTTTTGTATCCTTAATAGAAATCACATCCGTTAACATGTCCGATGGACAATAGTATATAAATGCGTATGGGCGAGGCTTTTTTTCGTCATACATACTTTTTGGTGATTTCGAACGTTATATTTGTGTATTACGATGGAGTCTCAAAGTAAAGAGGTCGAAGAGCTACCGACGAGGTCCACTGAGAAATCGTTTGAACAACTATTAGATGAGGAAGAGGAAGACGTGTTCGATGAAACGTTTATGGGTTCTATAATCGATTTAATACATCAGATGTGGATTACGAATACGTTTATCAAAAATTTGCGAATGATGATTGGGTGCATACAGACCTATATGGTAAATCAGCGAAAAATAGACCCGAATACGATACGTATGAGGGAGGCAAAGACAATGAAAGATGCATTAATATCATTTTTGGACGCGTTGAAAACGAGAGGTTTGCTAAATTCTATATATTCTAAGGAAGAGATGAATCGTTTCTTCTCTACCTCCGAGAGAAAAGTGTTGCGTCATTTGTTTATCATGACGGAAGATTTCATGATGAGAAATACATTCTTCGAATGGTTGCACGATCTGAAGGAGTTTGTTAGATGTCACATGACGACACTTCTTGATGCACCGAACATCGATTGTGAGATTTTTACATCGTCAATAGAATTGACATCTGGAGGTATGGACGCGCTTTTTGCTTCAACCTCGAAACAGCAAACCGATGGAATGTCCCAATTATTATTACAAAATTATTACAAAATTGGAAAATGGTCATTGGTACACCGTGAACTTCGGAAGGACAGACTGGACATTAGTTAATTCGCATAGATGTGTATGATATTCACGATATTAAAAATAAGGAAAAACGTCAATGGTGGAAATATGCAAAATTGAGAACACAATTTTTCACAATTTTTTTTTGATATTTTCCCCCAGAGATCGTAAGCAGCAAATGGTGAATCGGCTTTTGGATTGTGTAGCTGACGATATGAGGAAAGATCTATCATTAACGAAGGAAAAGAAAAAGTTTAGTAAAAAAATATAGGAGAGAGGAAAAGACGTTCTGCATATGATATTCACACGTTATATTTTTATCACATATTATATTTACTTACGCATATCCTATTTTATCATATATTATATAGTTATCTCACTTTTACGTGCGATTGTTCCTTCACACCGAGAGAGCACACACATTCTCTGCAGGACATGATAAAAGAGAGACGCATCGCACGATTATCTCATTGGTTTGGTTTAATCGTTGTGGTGACATATCTTGATGTTCAACGTTATGGTGTCAACATCGTTGATTTGCAAGGTAGTTATTATCTCTTGTAATATAGTTCTTATCTCTTGTTTATTTTTACAAATATGTGTATTATTTGTATGTTTTTTTGTTAAGGATTGTCGTGAGTGAGCGATTCGTTGTGAAGGAGGTAGCAGTTTTGAAGAATGGAAGCGAGTTGATACATTACATCTTTACATGCCTGATGCCATGGCGTTTCCTGACGAAAGCTGAGCAGTCGCACGCCTCATGATTGATGACACATCATCACGGATTGCGGTGGAACGACGGGATGGTACCATATCGTATGGCGCAGCGTCTGATCACTGAAGCTGTCAGTGGAGAAAGTGAGGCAATCATTTATGTGAAGGGACTCGAAAAACAAGGGTGATTAGTGGACATTCTGAACAATGACGACGAATTATTGATCGATGTCGAAACGATCGATGTGCATTACGAGATTAAATCGCTTGAAAATTTAGATGCTACCAATACTATCATTTCGATGTGGAAGACACAGTAAATGTTGCGCGTTACAGAATGTATTAAAACCATTTAATCAGTGGATGGGATTTCAAAGCAAGTAATACGTGTTTCTTTATATATATATATACACACACACACACACACACACATACACACACACACACACACACACACACACTCGATGTATGTGCTTATTATAGTATGCATTTTATTAAAATTAAAAGAAAAATTTACACATGTAACGGAAAGAAATCCATTATTCATGTCCTGTGTGCATATATATTCGTATATCGTTCAAAAGTTCAAATTTCGTAATTTGTTTTAAAGTAACGGAAAACTCAATATCCTCAAGATTCAACACAGTAGTATAATCCGGATACGATGATTTCCTATTCACACTTTTAGATACAGAGCGGCGATCACCGATCAAGCGAAAGACAATGCATTGTCCATCGAACGCACATTGATTATCGCTTTCTTCAGCATAATTTCTCGCGGCAGCTCCATCCAACATCCCGCATGCATAGGATTATATTTGTTAACATTTACAATCAGATTCAATATACGTGATATAGCGCCCATCCACTGTCACGTTCCTGAAATTCCTCCAATGCTGCTGAAGTATCATCTATCACGTGTTTATCGTACCACTCTCGCAGATCGGATGTGTCAAAAAGCTCGTAATTTTTCGTAGTAATACTCTTAACAGATCTCTTAGCATCCGCGACGAACTCATCGTTGAATATTGTATTCACTTTCAAACAAATATGTCTCTGAAGATTATTGTGTATCCGATCGAGAACGATATCTCTCGCATCATCGAGAAACTGTCGAGGTTCGATGTAATTTGAATTCAACACCACTCAATACGCGATCGTTAAAAGCTGTTTCGATCTCCAACTACGAAAATCCCCTCTTTTGCGATTCGACATAGCCAGAGCCCACATGTTCAAAACGTTGTCGTAAAACATTTCTCAAACCTTCCAATCGTGCTAGTCGAGCGATCGATGCGTTTACAATTCCGGTAGATGTTCGTCGACGTTTACTGTTTCGACACGTCTCCCGCAAGAAATCGAGACACTTGTCGCATTTTTGCTCCCATACTCGATACATGTCCGCCGTATCGATGCTCGTCGCACATTGATGAAAAAGATCCTCCACCTTCTCATCCATCTCTTTCTCTATATATTAAAAAAATCACTATCCTTGCTTACACGCACGTGAACCAGAGCGTTTTACCGCAACTATCTATAGGTATGTCGAATTTAATTTTTTCATACATCCTTCCTATATCATCGATTTTTCGCACACCTTTCATAGCTGCGTTCTCATACCTTTTCGCGCGATCGTCAACAAGAACTATCGCGCTTTTCATCCATAAAATCTCTCGCGAACAGTGATTTTTAATCTCTCTCCGTAAATGATGTGTAGCTAAATTCCAACACCTCTTCTCCTTTATACAAGATGTAACCAACGTAGGACTCGATACCATACGCTCGTAACAATACACATCGCTATCTGTATCTGAAAACACGCTTAACGGATCGCTGTCCGTACTTTCGTTCGGACTGTTATCGCTATCGCTTGACATATTAAGCATTCAAAAATCACTGTGAGAAGAACCTTACCCCATATGCATTTATATATCGTTCCTTCGTCGGAAACATCAAAAATCATAACTCCATCTTTTACAAAGAATATACATATTAAAACATGAACATCCTATCCATTCAAAGAATGTTGTATCTTCACACACACACATACGAGGTCTGTTCAAAAAGTATCGCGAATTTTGAATTTCCGCGGGTTACGTATATTCGATTTTCGATTTTTTTGTGGCGTTTATGTTGATACTCATGTCTCTCACTTATGACAAGTTCGGCCATTTTGAATGTTCAGTTAATTTTTGACAGCTGCTTTGCTTGCACGTGTTTTGGCTCGTCTTCGATTTTTGCCTATTTCAAAAAATGGATCAAAGAATCTGTATCAAATTTTGTGTGAAAAACAAAATTAAATGCGCGGACGCATTCCGAATGTTGACTGTGGCATATGGTGAAGCTACCTTGGACCGAAGCAACGTTTATCGGTGGTACAAAATGTTCTCAGAGGGCCGAGAAGATGTGAACGACGAAGAGCGTGTCGGACGCCCGAGCACGTCAACAACAGACGAAAATATTGATGAAGTGAAGAAAATAGTATTGGCCAATCGTCGAATCACCGTTAGAGAAGTTGCTGAGGACCTAAACATATCGATTGGCTCATGCCATTCGATTTTTACCAATGATTTGGGCATGAGAGCGGGTCGCCGCGAAATTCGTACCAAAATTGTTCAATTTCGACCAAAAACAGCATCGCATTAACATTGCTAAGGAGCTGTTGGACTCTGTCCGCGACGACCTAAATGTGCTCCAGAGGGTCATAACTGGTGACGAATTATGGGTTTATGGTTATGACGTGGAAACCAAAGCTCAATCATCCCAAGGGAAGCTGCCGCACGAGCTAAGACCGAAAAAAGCGCGCCAAGTTCGGTCGAATGTGAAGAGTTTGCTTACAGTTTTCTTCGATTGCAAGGGCGTGGTGCATCATGAGTTCTTGCCACAGGGTAGAACGGTCAATAAGGAATATTACCTGCAAATTATGCACAATTTGCGCGAAGCAATCCGCCAAAAACGCCAGGATTTGTGGAAGAACCAAAATTGGCTTTTGCACCATGATAACGCC